GGGTAGTACATCCAAGCTGCATGTGGAGGAGCTCAAACTGGAGATTATCTCTTGGACAGTTTTATCATCTACAGGTGCAAAGTGAGTTAGCTCAGAGAGCCTTTCTGGCTGTTGGATGGTTATCTGTGGATTGGAGACAATGGCATTTTTGATGCCTTGAACCTTGTCATTGAAAAAATTTGCAAACTCATTGCATTTACGTTTGGAAGTAAACTCTAATGGCATCTGAACAGGGGGATTTGTTAATCTATTAACTGTTGAGAACAGAACACGCAGATTGTTGCTGCAGCCTTCAATCATTTCAGAAAAATACCTTTCTCTCGTACTACGTAGCACCCGGTTAAACTCGCACAATTTATCTTTGAAGATCTCGTAATCAACCTGGAGGTTGGACTTGCGCCACTTCCGCTCGGCCCTCCGGCACTTTCTCTTTTGTGCCCTGACCGAGTCTGCTTTAGCCCACGGCGCCTTCTGCTTATTTTTCACTATTTTAACCTTCACAGGGGCAACGGTATCCAGAACATTGAAAACACTAGAGGTGACAGAGTTAAACAGTTCATCTACAGTAGAATACGATGCATTCTCAAAGTTTATCATTCCCATAAATAGTTCACTCGTATTTTCAATTATGCGCCTTCTTCGAACAGTTGCAGAGTCCACTGGTGGTTTGTTAGTGAAACACATGTCAAAAAATACGCAGAAATGATCCGAAAGAGCAACATCGACCACGTTTACATTTGAAATATTCACCAGTAATAACTGGGGGCGACAGTAGCTCAGTTGGTAGAGCATTGGCCTTAAAGCCAGAAGGTTGTGGGTTCAATTCCCACCTCTGCACCTTCTCCACCGACTCCCACTGATGACTGCTGTCGTTGTATCCTTGGGCAAGTCACTTAACCCCACTTTGCCCAAAAGCCCCCACTGAAAGATCAAGGCTATGCTCACACTCAGAGAGCAGCCGTCCTCCTGTGGACTCACCACCTGCAGAGGGTCAGTGAGGGGCTGGTGCTATGAGACTTGGGTGGCATCTCTGATTGCCACCCCCCTGACCCAGAAATGGATTAAAGGGTAAAAAATGGATGGATGGATGGACCTGTAATAACCAAACTATCAAAATCTGTGCATACAACTGAAAGCAACTCGGTAAAATTATCAATAAAACTGTGACATGACTGCGGTGGCTTGTATAGGACAATGAAGAGTATTGGAGGAGATTGTTTTTGTTGTATTTTAAAAGACACATATTCAAATGACGAAAACTTCCCAAGAGACATTCTATGGGAGACAAAGTGGTCTCTGAAAATGGCAGCTAAGCCTCCTCCTTTTTTGTTTTCCCGTATTTCAGATTCAAACTTGAAATTTGGTGGTGATGCTTCTATTAAAACTGCATTTCCTGAATTTTGGTTAAGCCAAGTTTCAGCCATGAACATAAGATCAAGATTATGAGAACAAATAAAATTATTGATTAAAAAAGACTTGTTATAAAGAGATCTGACATTAAGCGTAGAAAGTTTCAGCATCAGCGGTTGTGGTCGGCTGATTCTTACACGGAACAAGAATTAGATTTTCCAGATTAGACTGATTAACTCCAGATGTTTTTCTGTAATGTATTCTTTGTGTTATCACTAAGGGAATGGCACAGGTGGCTTCATGGCAGGGCCCCAGCCGGGTCTCTCCTCTAACTAGACTGCCAGTGGCTGCGAAGCCACTGGGGGAGGGGAAGGCGGGGGAGGAGGATGGAGAGGTGGGTGGCTTTTGGGTGTTGAACGAGGGGGGGCAGGGAGGTGGAGGGGTTTTTGGTGATGGGTTAGGGCCGGGGTGGGCTGAGGCAGAGGTTTTGGATGTTGAACGAGGGGGAAGTGGGGGTGGAATGGTCATGAGGTTAGGGGAGGGACTGGCTGAGGTGGTTTTTGTAGGTGAATTGGAAACCCTAGGTGGTTTTGGAGGTACATATGGGGAGTGGTTTAGAATATTGGACAGGACTCTAGATCTAGCTAATATGGGTGTGAGAGGAATAGTCTTCATCGCCGATTTTATTAGCCCTGCAGAGTGTTCAGGTAGGTCTAACAGTGAAGGCGGGGATGAAAAACAAAGGGAGGTGTCCCCATTCTCTCTTGATGGAGTGGACGTGGCAGGGGGGACCCAAGACATGTCCATGGGAGGTGGCGAGGGAGTCTTTGATGGAGGGGCAGGTGGTTGAGGAAACCCCAGCACAGGCCTGTCTGCTGTAGGCTGGGGTGAGGATGGGGGCTTCAGAGGCGCTGTAGATGAAGAAGGCGTGACTGCTTCGGAGCAGGCTGGGGATGAGGATGTTGGTGGTGGTGGTCGTGCTGCTGGTGCTGCTACTGGTGATGATGCAGCTGCTTCTGATGACAGTGGAGGTGTTGAGATCCTTTGAGGCGGTGATGGTGTTGAGATCCTTCGAGGTGGTTGTGGTGTTGAGATCCTTCGAGGTGGTGGTGGTGTTGAGATCCTTCGAGGTGGTGGATGTGCAGAGACTTTTAGAGTCGGCTTCCTCCCTCTTGATGGCTGCACGCGCAGTCTGAGTCTGAGTCCTGTCTACAGTCTGAGTCCTGTCTGCGTGGAGTGGATCCCTCTCTCTGTGGATCTGAGGTTTCTCACTTTTCTCCCACTTTCCTCTGATGCAGGAGTCTAACAAGAAGGACTGTGATGAGCCAGGACACTTAAACATTCTACAACATGTATGACATTTATCATCATTCATGCACATTGGTCTCTCCATATGGTCCAATACCATGTGATCTATATTTTCTGTGTATTAACTGTTGATTCTCTGATCTGTGTTGGTGATTTCAAAGGTTTTGTAAAGTCCTCTGAGAAACTGTTGTTGTGTTTTAAGACAATACAAGAATAAATTGAACTGGATTTAATTGAACCTGTTCCCAGAAGATTGAGAAGGTCCGGTTTGGAGACCGCAGGATTTAATCTCTGCTGTTTACAGACGATGTTCTGTTAAAACCAACGAACGAGGACCTTCAGCTCTGGGACGGTCTGCAGCCGAGTGTGAAGCGGCTGGAAGAGAATCAGCTCCAAATCCCAGGCTATGGAGCTTGACCAGAGACCAGGTCCTCTCCAGGTCCTGGTCCTCTACAGGTCCTGGTCCTCTACAGGACCTAGTCCTCTACAGGTCCTAGTCCTCTACTGGTCCTGGTCCTCTATAGGTCCTGGTCCTCTACAGGTCCTGGTCCTCTACAGGTCCTAGTCCTCTACAGGTCCTAGTCCTCTCCAGGTCCTGGGCCTCTACATGTCCTGGTCTACTACAGGTCCTAGTCCTCTCCAGGTCCTGGTCCTCTACATGTCCTGGTCTACTACAGGTCCTAGTCCTCTCCAGGTCCTGGTCTTCTACAAGTCCTGGCCATTCTTCAAGTGGAGCAAGTATCTCAGAGTCTTGTTCTCAGAGAGGGAAGGATGGAGCGTGAGATTGACGGATCAGAAAAGCAGTCGCAAAATCGCACAAACAGAAACATGAGCGAAACAGAGAAAAGTGAACTGTGTTATAGTTTTGACGACTGTATTCAGACTGTGTTCCTCCGACGGACAGTTCTGACCAAAGAACAGAGAACACTCTCTAACTCTGAGGCCGTGTGTTGGTCACTGCTTTTAGTGCATCTACACAAACCCAGATGGACTGTATCTCTCTGACGTACAGTGGTCTGGCCCCAAAGGGAGGAGACACATTTGTGATCTTGAATTTAGAGAAGTGGCTGCAGAAGACTTCCTGCTTTGATGAAGTGTGCGGCTGCGAAGATGAGGCTCTGGCAGATAGCGATCAGTTTTCATGTCGGTGAGTATCTGCTGTTTAAAGACACTTTGGTTTCTTCACAAATCGCTCTGACACAGAAAGGACTTTACAAACCACCAGTGAAACGTCACGGTTCAGACTGTGTTAGAATGTGGAGTTATATGTGTTCTACAACCATCCAGTCAGTTATGTTACTGTTTTACTGTAAGGTCTTGGTCTCTGTCTCTTTGATACAGACGTGTAGAATACCACAGGATACAGATGCTACGAGGATCTAATAGTCATGTTTTATTCTAGAAATATGTTTTAGGTCAATGTATTATTTAAGTGTTAAGTCACTTTGATGGTGCAGAATCAGCCCCCTGTTTATCTTAAATATAAATACAATGGATAATAACAGCATAAGTAGAAAAAGCTGTGTAATATTAAAGGTTTTTAGACAGTTTCTAAGAAAAAGGATTTCTTTGTTGTAATTCTAAGTCTCACGGTTATGACTGTTTGGTGTGAGAATAATCGGGAGGAGACCCAGGACATGTTGGGGGGACTGACTCTCAGCTGGTCTAGGAGGGGGACTTCTAATGCTATAAATGATGGCACATGTGAATCTCGATAATGCAGTATAGCTATGAGCAAGGTCTGGCCAGTTTATTTGTATAGCACATTATAAGGCAACTCAAAGTGTTGAATAAAACCCAGAATAGAAGCAATCACAAAAGACATTAACATCATCAATAATCACAGTACATTAAAAAGATAAAATCCTTCAGCTTTGGCAGCTAAACACAACTGGATTTGAACATTGTCAGAGAAGAAGCCTGTCACACATTTTCAGGAAGACTGTTCCAGATTTTAGGTGTGTAATTCTGAAACGCTCAATAGACAAAACCCTGAACCAGTGTTTTTCTCCAGAGCAGCTCAGAGTTTAATCTGTGAGGCCCGTCTGTAAAAACATGGGGTTGGATCATTCGTTCTAATGCAGTGATTCTGATCTGTTTTTTCCCAAACAGCGCTGTTCGAACGACTTTCTTCCATCAGAGCTGAGTCAGTTTATGAAGTGGCTGAAGGAGGAGACATCACAGTTCAATGTACTTTCTCTGCTGGTGGATATGGGAAGATCTTTTGTAAAAATAACTGCGACGAACAGAGAAATGTTTTGGTGAAGACGAGAGAAAATACAGCGTGTGAAGAAAGATACTGCATTCATTATGACAGATGGGGAACATTGGAGTCCATTATAATGTCTGTGACCATCTCCAAAGTGACTGATGCAGACTCCGGAACATACCAGTGTGTTCTGAGGAGATCACTGATAAAAGATGGTGTCGAAACATTCAGGATCAAAGTCACAAACAGTACGTTTCATAGAAAACTCATACATTTTCCAACACACTCCCAAACTCACTCATTCATAAGTGTTGATGACTCTTCCAGATCCAGACGCAGCTGTAAATCCCACTTTCACTCTCAGACCTGAACGTTCTCCTCACAGTTCCACTCCTGAGCAGCCGCAGAACAAAGAACCAGGTACTGTCTTTAGAGGCTGCTGTTGTTGCTCCAGAAATATACATTTTATACCTCTTCCCCTTAATCCATTTCTGGGTCGGAGGTGGCAGTCAGAGCTGCACAGCCCCTCCCTGATCCTGCTGCAGGTGCTGAGTCCACTGGAGGCTGCTCTAGTCTGAGCTGTCCTAGTATTTCAGTGGGGGCTTCAGGCAAACTGGGGTTGAGTGTCTTGCCCAAGGACACAACGGCAGCAGACATCAGTGGGAGTCGTGAAGCAGGTCTCGTGGTAGAACCGAACCCTTGATCGTCTCTGCCACTGTCACCCCCTGTATACCTTAAGATAATAAAACGTTTTCTATAAAAGAATACTTTATGACCTACTCACTGCCCCATTCAAATGGTGAGTGTATTTACCCTTTAACGAAATAGATGGACAATAGATTTCCACAATGACTACACGCAACGAAAGGAAGAAACTGCGACATTTTGGCTGAAGACTTGAATCCAAACTTGATAATATTCAGTTGTCTCTTAATGACCACCAGGAGCCCACCGTACACGGCACCAAAACCCGGGCCTACTGATTGTGTTCTTTCATAGCCATCAGATACGTAGGGCGGCTGAGTGGTTAGCACTCTCGCTTCGAAGCAAGAAGGTCCTGGGTTCGAATCCCAGTCGGAAAAAGGCCTTTCTGAGTGGAGTTTGCATATTCTCCCCGTGTCTGCGTAGGTTTCCTCCGGGTACTCTAGTTTTCCCTACCACTAAATACACTAAACACAGGTCATGCATGTGCCTCCTGTACTGGCCCCGCTCCCACCTCTGTGTGGAGTGAGAGACAAATGCACACAGTTGTAAACTGCTTTGACTCTGGTCTGAGAAAGGCGCTATATAAATAAAGATTACTTACTTACTAATGGTGCACAAGGCTCGTGAGCTGCAAGGGCAAATGTGTTACAAAGGCACTTTTCACCGTGCTGTAGGAACGCTCTGCGTATCGTGGAGTCATGAAAGAACGGTACAGCTTTGGTCTTAAGCCTGCACTTCACTTTCCAGCAAGACTGTTTATCACGACGAGTGAAGGGACTCGAAAACAACTGACTTCCTGTTTGTCTTTTCAAAGCGCATTATTATCATGATGTTATATTTACAAACAATCTACAGTAACTGCATGTTTTACCCTGGTATCTACGTTTAGTGCAGTATCAATGTTTTGTTTAACATTATCTTTAATATTCTTATACTAGATAGTGACACCCTGTAACTTGATTAGAAATAATAATATTATTCTATGTATTATTGACAACACTCTTGCCTCTTCTGGTGTCTCCCCTGCAGAGCCGAGCCTCCTCCTCCTCCTGCTCCTCCTGGTCCCTCTGGTCCTGATGCTGTCTGTGGTCGTCTGCTACAAACAAAGGAAATCAGACGGTGAGAAAAACACATCAGTTTAAAAGGATTCTGTTTTATAGAAAACAACATTCTGACCTTTTCTCACGTTACGTTTGCAGAGAACGGAGCTGCACGGACTGAGGTAATGTGTCTGTGTTTAGACCAGTTCCTGTCTTTGACTTCGTGGTCACACTTTGGTTTAGCCAAACTCACTAACCCTTAGTACTCACTGACAGCTAATAGTGCATCATTTATGGTTAAATAACTCTTAATAAATGCTTAATAAATACCATTTATTAAGCATTTATTAGTCCTTATTCTACATGAACTTATTCAACATCTAACTAACTCCTAATTTAGTCCTGGGTTAGTTCCACATATGTCTCTAGTGGCACTTTTTTGCAAATAACTTTAAATACATAAAATATTCTTTTTTTTCTGCTCAATGCACTTATTCATAATAAGTGTGTGTCATTGTGTGTTGTTGCTGTGTGTTTCTGTGTGTTTGCAGGGAGTTGTGTATGAGCCTTGTGCTGCTGCCACAGAGTCTGCAGACATCACGTACCAGTCTCTCTGTGCAGAAACAAGAGAACACAACATCTACAGCTCTCTGACCGCACCAGGAACACCTCCCCCTGGTGGTCAGCGTCTGTAACTGCACCCTAAAGAGACAGACGTCAAACTGCTCTGACATCTCTGTGTGGAGCGAAAGACAAAGGCCCACAACTGTAAAATGTTAATGACTCTGGTCTGTGAGAGGCATTATATAAATAAAGATTACTTACTTTCATGATTTTCATGTCAAGTCATCATTAAAGGGCCCTAAACTGTCATCATTAAAGGGCCCTAATCTGTCATAATTAAAGGCCCCTAATCTGTCATCATTAAAGAGCCCTAATCTGTCATCATTAAAGGGCCCTAAAGTGTCATCATTAAAGGGCCCTAAAGTGTCATCATTAAAGGGCCCTAATCTGTCATCATTAAAGGGCCCTAATCTGTTATCATTAAAGGGCCCTCGTCTGTCATCATTAAAGGGCCCTCATCTGTCATCATTAAAGGGCCCTAATCTGTCATCATTAAAGGGCCCTAAACTGTCAGCATTAAAGGGCCCTAATCTGTCATCATTAGAGGGCCCTAAACTGTCATCATTAAAGGGCCCTCATCTGTCATCATTAAATGGCCCTAATATGTCATCATTAAAGGGCCCTAATCTGTCATCTTTAAAGGGCCCTAATCTGTCATCATTAAATGGCCCTAATATGTCATCATTAAAGGGCCCTAATCTCTCATCATTAAAGGGCCCTAATCTGTCATCTTTAAAGGGCCCTAATCTTTCATCATTAAAGGGCCCTAATCTGTCATCATTAAAGGGCCCTAATCTGTCATAATAATAAACTGCTCTTTTTCAATACTTCTTTAAAGTAGTTAAGAGATCATTGAATTTCTAAATTACTTTTACAGCCTCTAAATCTTGTAATTGTTTTCATTTCGATGTCCCGCCCTCCACCGTTTCACCAATCAGAAAGTCTGTGATCCGGGTTGCCCGAACTCAGCTAATGTCACTGGTAAAGTACCATGTGGCGCAGATCTAAAAAAGGTCTTATTCTTACTTAAGACCCGGGACCCTTCACTCAAGAAGGGTCTGTGGTGAAAATCCATTTTGTGTTTTTCACCGCGGTAAAGTGGCCCGGCATTTCGCCATTGCGGTAAACCACATTAAAAGCGGGTTGCTCCTTTTTGTTGTTACTTACTGTAACATTAGGTCAGTTAATACGCAGAAACGAAGTGTCCTATAACAACTATGCAGACGACACTCAGATCTATGTCTCACTGACTGCAGGAGAATATGGACCAGTGGACTCACTCCTTCACTGTATCCAACAGATCAGTGAGTGGATGCAAAACAACTTCCTTCAGCTAAACGCAGACAAAACTGAAATGATTGTCTTTGGTCCCCAGAAACAAAGAGAGAGCGTCATCTGTCACCTCCAGTCTCTCTCCCTAAAACCTTCAAACAAGGTCAGAAATCTAGGGGTAATACTGGACTCAGACTTAAATTTTAATCGCCACATCAAATCAGTAACATCAGCAGATTTTTACCACCTAAAAAACATTGCCAGGATCAAAAACATAGTGTCTAAAGCAGATCTGGAGATTCTTATCCATTCATTTGTCTCCAGTAGGTTAGACTACTGCAATGGCCTGCTCACAGGTCTGTCCAAACAGGCTGTAAAACAGCTGCAGTACATTCAAAATGCAGACGTCTTCTCTGTCTGGTGCACACTGGGGCAGTCTTGCACAGTTTTTCCAATGTGGTTTTACTGCAAATGGCAAATAAATGAATCTGAATCTGAATCTGAATACACTGCAAATCACGTTCTTTATTGGATTTAAACAACGTGAGTTTGAACAACTGGAAGAATTGTTAGTATTTTTGACAATGGCACTAAAAACACTGATAAATGCACAGTTTTTCATTCCTCAAAGTATAAAGGACTGGCATTCGATTGTTAAATATGAAACTGAACAAGGTAAATATGGGCTCTGAGAACCTTGGGGCCTGTATCCATAGCAACCCTGTAAATGTCTTATCTGATCTGCAAAGGCTTCCGTTGCCATGGCGAACCCTTTGGATGTGACATTTGGAACTTAGTGATGTCATTCCTGGATTCACCAAAGTGGGTTTAGGGTAACCACAGAACGCAGACCCAGAGAGTACACGAGACAAGTTGAGATTAGCACTAGCTACACACACACCGAGGTAAACGGTAACAAAGAGATCATGGATGTTCACGAAGACATATCTCGCCTTCTTCAGGTCGAGAAAACCCTGGAAGAGCAGCTGAAAGTCAACGCTGAACAGAAGCAGAGACTGAAGGAGCTGGAGCAGACGATACACGAGCGAGACGCCAAAGTCAATGAGCTCCAGGAGGTCTTGGAGCAAAGAGACGCCCCGATCGACTTTGGTAAAGATCTGCTCCAGAAAATGGACAAAGCGGCCCAGGATCTGGCTCGGGAGGTCCGCAACGAGGTCAACGCCTACGTGGGGAACCTGTTGAAGGACAAGATGGACCTTCAGAATCGCTGTGAGGACTTGGAGGAAAACCAGGTCTATCTGCAGGACCAGCTGGACCAAGCAGACCAGCAACATCTGCAAGACGAGATTCGAAATGTGAAACTCGAGGCAGAAATGACCAAGATGAAACAGGAACTGAAGCAGCAGGAACTGGGACTTATACACAGTGTTCTAGAGAGGAATTCCCTGCAGAGAAAAGTAGATGAACTGAAGGGGTTCTTGGAGCAAAGAGACGCCCTCATCGACTTTGGAAAGGACCTGCTCAAGAAAAAGGACAAGGAGTTCAAGGGTTTGGTTCAAGAGGCCCGCAAAAAGGTCAACGAATATGTGGGAGGCCTCTTTGAGAAAAACATTTATATGAAGATGCAGGTTGAGGACATTGAGAACGCCACAATTTTTCTGCAAGAACAACTGGACGAAGCAGAGCAGCAACATTTAGAAGCTGAGGAAACAAATATGAAACTGGAATCTGAACTCGCAAAGTCCAAGAAGGATCTCGAGCAGCAACTGGACGAGTTGGAGAATTACCGCATCGAAGAGGCGCTTAAAAACGTGAAGATTGTGGATGAACTTGAAGAGACAAAAAGAAAACTGAAAGAGTCTGAAGCCGAGAATGAGGCCCTGAAAACCCGTCTACAAGAATCTGACGGAGACGCAGAGACCAAAGACCAAAACAAGGAAGAGCAAGACACGAAGAAGATGAAGCAGAAGAAGAAGAGGAGGTGGTGGAAGTGTTGGGAGTAATCACCTCCGAACATCGCGGAAGTGTTAGCATCTTGACTCGTTTAAGCTAACGGGTTGAGGTGCGACACACTCAGGGGGCGGGGGCAGAGAGGAGCGGAAGTGGGGGGTTAGAACTGTAGATTAGATTGACTCAAACATGGTCTAAAGTCACCGAACCAAAGTTTATGGAGAGATGAGAGACAGTTTTCCTCTTTCAGGCGTGCAGGGTAAGGCCGTCTGTGCATTTACAAGAAACCTGCGCCAATGAAAGAGGAAACTTCTCTGATCTAGCCACGATACTTTGGGATGATGGTTTAGATCAATGAATGATTCAATCTAACCATGTTCTAGCCACTACTTCCATCCATCCCTGTCTTCCGCTTCATCCATTGCCATGTGGTCCAAACTTCCCTCTCGACAAACTCTTCAGACTTTGCTAAGCCGCAGAAGATCCAGAACCTAGAGATTACTACACAAGACAAAGCTGGACGAGGCAAAGAAATGCCACATGGAAGACTGAGTTCAACCCCTGAAGAATGAGGGTGAACTTGCAGAGACTAAAACCAAACTGAAAGTCCAAAGCCGAGAACGAGGCCCTGAAAACCGATCTACAACAGACTGACAGATGTAGACACCAAAGACCAAAACGAGAAGAAGAAGAACGTCACTGTAGTGTTAGCATCTTGTTTAAGCTAACACACTGAGGGGGCGGGGCAGAGAAGAGGGCGGTGGATGAAGCCCAGACCTCCCTCTCTGCACACACTTTAGATTCTCCTGACGAAGACTTACAACCGAGCAAACATCAGACGCATAATGCAATAAACAAAACAATAATAAAGAAATACAGCATATTAAGAATGTGTTTCCAAAGTGTTTTCATTTAATATAATATTGTGTTTAAATTATATTTCCACTTCCAGATTTCCTAAGCTCTGCTGTTTGTTTGACAAGATTTTGGAACAACCGAACAGTTTTTATGAATGAAAAATGCAGCTTTGACCCTCATTTAAACCCTTTAAACTGCTTGTGTCCACAGGGGTCTGCAGTCGCCCTGTGCTGATGTCACATATTTTTATATATATGCACAGTGACAGAGGGTCAGTTGTTAGAGCATTGGCCTTTGAGCCTGAAGGTCGTGGGTTCAAGTCCACCATGAGACCTTCTCCACCGACTCCCACTGATGTCTGCTGTTGTTGTGTCCTTGGGCAAGACACTTAAACCACTTTGCCTGTAAGGAGCGCCTAAGGGATGTTCGCTGCTTGCATTGAAGTGTATGTGTGTATGTGTATGTGTATGTGTGTATGTATATGTATATGTGTATGTATGTGTGTATGTGTGTATGTGTATATGTGTATGTATGTGTATATGTGTATGTGTATGTGTGTATGTGTATATGTATGTATATGTATATATGTATATGTGTATGTGTGTATGTGTGTATATGTGTATGTATGTGTATATGTATGTATAAGTATATGTGTATATGTATGTACATGTATATGTGTATATGTATGTACATGTATATGTGTATATGTGTATGTATATGTGTATATGTATGTATATGTATGTATATGTATATGTGTGTATATATATGTATATGCATCAAGCTGAGATTTCCTCATTGTGCGATGAATAAAAGACAGTCTTCTTCTATAAATCCTCTTTCATAAACACACAATTACAGTTTTCTGCATTTTATTTGTTCTTCAAGCACGGAGCACACACCTCAAACCAGAAAAGTGTGATTATGAGAATTTGAAAACAATCTCATGTCTAACATTTCTGATAAACGATACTAAATAACAGTGTGTTGTGCTTTTGAGCCAGGACACTCTGCGACTCACCGATGTGTTCTGGCACTGGATGCAGGAGGAGTTGAACCGCACCGCAGGGATCCTCTGGACCCGGCCCTGGATGTGGAACACACACTCGTAGTTCTTCTGCCCGGACTGAGGCTGCGGCAGGTTCCGGGCCTTCAGCGTGATCGGACGCACCATTCCAGCTGCGACCAGGATGTCCCCCGCTGGAAGGATCTGTGGACAGCCCTGCAAGACACACACACATGGTTACACATGGTTACACATGGTTACACACACGGTCACACTTTGGGAATCTTCTACACTATGGCTGAGATCAACGATTCTTTGGATAATCACTAAGTTCTGTGGATCACAAAGGGAGTTTTGAAAAACAATCAGCAAAAGGCTTAAAGCTACACGGTGTAGTTTTTACTCCCATTTGTTTATTTATTTATTTATCTATTTTGAGAAAGTAAATGGGCACAGAAATAATTAGTGCAAATTAATCAAAAGCAACTTATGTACATTTACAAAAATAAATACCAAAAATTATAACAAATGAGTAATAATACTAACGTAATACTTGTGGATGCTTGAAGAGGAGTGGGAAGAAGAAAACACTTTAGTTTAACCCCATATTACGTAGATTTTTGTTTTTTAAATCTACGGTGACTTTAAAGAACAATATGTGATCTTTGACTGTGGTCCCCGACTCCTGCTCAGGAGCCGTGTCTCCCATCCCAGCACTAACCAGGCCCTGCCCTGCTTAGCTTCAGGGGTCTGACAGGATCTGGCTTTGCACTGTGGGTAGTTGTTTGTAAGACACTAAATACATACTTATAAAGAGTTGACAACTATTGACTAATTACTGCCTTTTTTGTTAAACGTAATAAAATATTTTGTTACTTTTTTTCTTTTCAATAAAATACTTTAAAAACGCACAAAAACAGTGTTTTTCTAGGATTTGATTTGCTTCTTTCTCATGTGTTTGTGTAAAAACAGTTGTACGTGACCAGGCGAAGGACACGGGTCCATGAACTGCTGTTTACGACGGTCCCTGAAGGCCACATTCAGGGACCATCAATGCTTTTCTCTTTTTTTTAAGTTTCATGGTTCCTGCTGGTTTTCAGATTCAGATTTGCCCTTCATTAAAACCACAGAGGAACACATTTGCAGAGGTCCCCAGTGTGCACCAGACAAGTACAAACATGAAACAGGGTTAAAAATACGGAAACAAGATTAGTATGTTATCGATAAAATGACAATTCAAAAATAATCTGCATCATAACATTAGGCAAGGCAAGGCAAGGCAAGGCAAGTTTATTTATATAGCACAATTCATACACAAGGCAATTCAAAGTGCTGAACAGAACAAGAAAGCATTAAAATCATAAATAATCACAGTACATTAAAAAAAAAAGATAAAAATATAAAATCCCTCAGTTGTATGCACAGCTAAACAGAACTGTTTTCAACCTTGTCTTAAACATTGTCAGAGAGGAGGCCTGTCTCACATCTTCAGGAAGACTGTTCCAGATTTTAGCAGCATGAATCTGAAAAGCAGCCTCCCCATGTTTAGTTCTGACTCTGGGCACTAACAGGAGTCCAGTCCCTGTGCTCCTCAGAGTCCGGGCTGGTTCATATGGTACTAACATGTCACTAATATAGTTTGGTGCGAGGCCATGGAGAGATTTGTACACAAGCAGAGCTGTTTTAAAGTCTATTCTCTGAGCCACAGGAAGCCAGTGCAGGGACCTGAGGACCGGACTAATGTGGTCGTACTTCCTGGTTCTAGTCAGGACTCGAGCTGCTGCATTTTGAATGTACTGCAGCTGTTTTACAGCCTGTTTGGACAGACCTGTGAGCAGGCCATTGCAGTAGTCTAACCTACTGGAGACAAATGCATGGATAAGAATCTCCAAGTCTGCTTTAGACACTATGTTTTTGATCCTGGCAATGTTTTTTAGATGGTAAAAAGCTGCTGATGTTACTGATTTGATGTGGCTATTAAAATTTAAGTCTGAGTCCAGTATTACCCCTAGATTTCTGACCTTGTTTGAAGGTTTTAGGGAGAGAGACTGTAGGTGACAGATGACGCTCTCTCTTTGTTTCTGGGGACCAAAGACAATCATTTCAGTTTTGTCTGCGTTTAGCTGAAGGAAGTTGTTTTGCATCCACTCACTGATCTGTTGGATACAGTGAAGGAGTGAGTCCACTGGTCCATGTTCTCCTGCAGTCAGTGAGACATAGATCTGAGTGTCGTCTGCATAGTTGTGATAGGACACTTTGTTTCTGCGTATTAACTGACCTAACGGCAGCATGTAGAGATTGAACAGAAGAGGTCCCAGGATCGACCCCTGTGGTACTCCACAGGTCAGGGCCATATGATCTGAGACACAGTCTCCAATCTCCACAAAGTACTTCCTGTCTTCAAGGTAAGACCTAAACCAACTTAGGGCGGTGCCAGCGACTCCAACCCAGTCCTCTAATCTCTGTAAGAGGATCTCATGGTCGACGGTGTCAAAGGCAGCACTCAGATCTAACAAGATTAAGATTGAGACTTTGCCTGCGTCAGTGTTCAGCCGGATATCGTTTGTAACCTTGACAAGAGCAGTCTCAGTGCTGTGGTGGGGTCTAAAGCCGGACTGAAACATATCAAATGAGTTGTTAATTATAAGAAATCTAGTAAGCTGTAGGTAGACAACTTTTTCAAGGACTTTCCCCATAAATGGCAGATTTGAGATGGGACGATAGTTGTTAAGTACCGTAGCATCCAGGCTGCTCTTTTTTAGCAGGGGCCTGATGACTGCAGTTTTCAGGGCCTTTGGGAATATTCCAGAATGAAGGGACATGTTTACTATCTGTGTGAGTGAAGGTAACAGACTGCTCAGAACAGACTTCAGAAATCTAGTGGGTAGTCCACTAATCCAGGCTGCATGTGGAGGAGCTCAAACTGGAGATTATTTCTTGGACATTTTTATCATCTACAGGTGCAAAGTAAGTTAGCTCAGAGAGCCTTTCTGGCTGTTGGATGGTTATCTGTGGATTGGAGACAATGGCGTTTTTGATGCCTTGAACCTTGTCATTGAAAAAGTGTGCAAACTCATTGCATTTGCGTTTGGAAGTTAGCTCTAATGGCATCTGAACAGGGGGGTTTGTTAATCTATTAACTGTTGAAAACAGAACACGCAGATTGTTACTGCAGCCTTCAATCATTTCAGAAAAATACCTTTCTCTCGTACTACGTAGCACCCGGTTAAACTCGCACAACTTATCTTTGAAGATCTTGTAATCAACCTGGAGGTTGGACTTGCGCCACTTCCGCTCGGCCCTCCGGCACTTTCTCTTTTGTGCCCTGACCGAGTCTGCTTTAGCCCACGGCGCCTTCTGCTTATTTTTCACTATTTTAACCTTCACAGGGGCAACGGTATCCAGAACATTCAAAACACTAGAGGTGACAGAGTTAAACAGTTCATCTACAGTAGAATACGATGCATTTTCAAAGTTTATCATTCCCATAAATAGTTCACTTGTATTTTCATTTATGTGTCTTCTTCGAACAGTTGCAGAGTCCACTGGTGGTTTGTTAGTGAAACACATGTCAAAAAATACACAGAAATGATCCGAAAGAGCAACATCGACCACGCTTATATTTGAAATATTCACCCCCTTTGTAACTAACAGGTCTAGAGTGTGCCCTCTGCTGTGGGTGGGGCCACTCACATGCTGAGTGAGACCAAAGGTATCAAGTAAAGAACTCAGCTCTTTTGCATTTCTGTCATCAACATTATCCACATGAATATTAAAATCACCTGTAATAACTAAACTATCAAAATCTGTGCATACAACTGAAAGCAACTCGGTAAAATTATCAATAAAACTGTGACATGACTGCGGTGGCTTGTATAGGACTATGAAGAGTATTGGAGATTGTTTTTGTTGTATTTTAAAAGACACATATTCAAAAGACGGAAACTTCCCAAGAGACATTCTATGGGAGACAAAGTGGTCTCTAAAAATGGCAGCTAAGCCTCCTCCTTTTTTGTTTTCCCGTATTTCAGATTCAAATTTGAAATTTGGTGGTGATGCTTCTATTAAAACTGCATTTTCTGTATTTTGGTCAAGCCATGTTTCAGCCATGAACATAAGATCAAGATTATAAGAACAAATAAAATTATTGATTAAAAAAGACTTGTTAGAAAGAGATCTGACATTTAGCATAGCAAGTTTCAAAGTTTCAGTATCAGCGGTTGTGGTCGGCTGATTCTTACACGGAACAAGAATTAGATTTTCCAGATTAGACTGATTAACTCCAGATGTCTTTCTGTAATGTATTCTTTGTGTTATCACTAAGGGAATGGCACAGGTGGCTTCACGACAGGGCCCCAGCCGGGTCTCTCCTCTAACTAGACTGCCAGTGGCTGCGAAGCAGAGACCCTGTGCATCCTAGGGAGAGGAGGGAGGAGGATGGAGAGGTGGGTGGTTCTTGGGTGTGGGACGAGGGGGGTTGGAGGTGGATGGGTGTTAGGGGAGGGGCAGGAGTTGGGAGATAGACGAGGGGGGAGTGGAGGTGGAGGGGTTCTTGGTGATGGGAAACGAGGGGGGGGGTGGGGGTGGGGCTGGAATGGTTTTGGGGTTAGGGGAGGGACCTGTGGATTTTGCGGGTGAATTCGTAGAATTTGAGGGACGGTGGATTTTGTGGGAGGAATTTGAGTTGGACGCCCTAGGTGGCTTTGGAGGTACGTATGGGGAGAAGTTATGAATGTTAGATAGGACCCTTGATCTGGCTACAGTGGGTGTGAGAGGAATATTCTTCATCGCCGATCTTATCATGCCTGCAGAGTGTTCCGGTAAATCCAGTAGTGAAGGCGGGGATAGAAAACAAAAGGGAAAGGTCGTCCTCATTTTCCCTAGATGGAGGTGGACTTGTAGCGGGCGGGGGGGGACCCAAGCCGGGTCCATGGAAGGGTGATGAGGGAGTCTTTTGGTGGAGACAGAGGTGGTTGAGGAACCCCATGTTACAGGCTGGACTTGTAGCCTGGAGTAATGGGGGAAGCTTCACGGGAGTGTAGGTGGGGAAGGTGTGCTGAAGATGATGAGCAGCCACTGCTGCTGCTTGATAGATTGATGGAGCAGCCACTGCTGTGGCGTATCCACTGCTGCTGTTGGTGATGTATATGCTGCATGGCGCTGATGAAGATGTGGCAGCATTGCTTGATGATGCTGGGGGTGGAGGCCGTTTGTGCTCTTTCGGTAGCCGGTGAGGTGTTGAGTTCTTTTGAAACCTTGGAGGTTTGAGTTTTATTCTTGCATGTGAAGGTGTGGAGTTCTTTTGAGGCGGGTGGGGCTGTGCAGAGCACTCGCGCGAGTCGGTGGAGTATGGCGTGAATGTCTTTTTGTGCCTTGCTTCTTCTTTCTCCCTTTCAACGGCCTACTGCACACGCTGCGGCCAGGCTGAGGTCTTAGGGCAAGTATGCAAGTTTAATCCCATCAAAATTGTTACTCCGTAGTTGTTCAGATGTGGACCTTTTTCTTCAAAACAGCTCGTGCCTTATTTCCAGAACAGATTAAAGGTTTTCAATTGAAGCCAAGTCTCTGCGTGAACCTATTGAGTAGGAATGTATTTAGCTGATACAGACGGGCTAAACTTCTCCCATTTTTCATCTATATTTGGAAGTGGGCCACTAAGAAAAATGTTTGTCCATTTTCTTGAGGTCATCCACGTTAACAGCGTTAAAAATACATTCGTACTTCTCGCTTGCCTTTCATAGATATCTACCGCCCCGTGTGGGACAAATATCAGTTCAGGAAAGAACTGAAAGCAGCCAAGTCCCGGCACAGAGAACGACTACAGGAGCAGTTTGGTAACAACGATACTGCTTCTGTCTGGAGGGGCCTACGGGAGATCACCAACTACAAACCCAAAGCCCCCCCCTGTTGCTGATGACCACAAGCTAGCTGACGATCTGAACTTATTTTTCAGTCGCTTTGATGCTGCCCCTGACACCTCTCCCTCCCCCACCCCCCACTACTCT